CCAATTAATTAAGAGAAAAAAACTTTTGAAGTGATAATCAAGCTAGCCCAGTACAGACAGTTAAGAAGTGTGAGAGTACTTACAAGGGGAGATAGATTCAATGTTTGTAATGGCTCAGCCATTCCCAGTCCTTATTCAAACCGGAGTTTTGAATGACCAGACAGGTTAAAGTGTTCTCCCACTGGTTTTTGAGTATTTTGATTCCTGATCAGGAATTATATTACAACAGAAATGGCTATATTACAACAGAAAAACTTCAAAAACAGACTCCAAAGAGAGACTGCTGAGCTAGAATTGATATGCAAACTAGACACAATCAACTCCGGTTTGAATAAGGACTGGGAATGGCTGAGCCATTACAAACATTGAATCTATCTCCCCTTGTAAGTACTCTCACACTTCTTAACTGTCTGTACTGGGCTAGCTTGATTATCACTTCAACAGTTTTTTTCTCTTAATTAATTGGCCTCTCAGAGTTGGTAAGACAACTCCCACCTGTTTATGCTCGCTGTATGTGTGTGTATATATCTCCTCAATATATGTTCCATTCTATATGCATCCGAAGAAGTGGGCTGTAGTCCACGAAAGCTTATGCTCTAATAAATTTGTTAGTCTCTAAGGTGCCACAAGTACTCCTGTTCTTCTTTTTGCGGATACAGACTAACATGGCTGCTACTTAAAGTAGGGATGAAAGCAGAGAATGGGCAGTCTAATGCTTACAGCAGCTGAATACTGCCTTTGAGAAATGGATTCAATCCCTGCCTCTGCCACAGAGTTCCTGTGTGATGTTGGGCAAGTCATTTAAAGAAACTTTTCACAGGTTGTTACTAACTGTATGTCCTTCATTTTTAGGGTGCCTGACTTGAGAGCCCGGAAGAAGTGTTAAGTACTCACAGTCACAAGTGAAGTCAATGGGAACTGTGATTTGAACATATAAAGTGCTACGTGAATGAAGCCACGTAAGGAGTTGTGGAACTCCTTACCTGAGAAGGTTGTGAAGGCTAGGACTATAACAGAGTTTAAAAGAGAACTAGATAAATTCATGGTGGTTAAGTCCATTAATGGCTATTAGCCAGGACGAGTAAGGAATGGTGTCCCTAGCCTCTGTCAGTCAGAAGATGGAGATGGATGGCAGGAGAGAGATCACTTGATCATTGCTTGTTAGGTTCACTCCATCTGGGGCACCTGGCATTGGCCATTGTCGGTAGACAGGATACTGGGCTAGATGGACCTTTGGTCTGACCCGGTACGGCCTTTCTTATGTATGTCTTCTGAAGAATCAGGCTGTAGGCATCTCAAACTGAAGCCCCCAAAATTAGTGGATACTTTTGAGTAGAGTGGATCAAAAAAAAATGTCAGTGGAAGCTGATTACTTTGAAAAAATGCAGTTAGTTGAGATTGAAACATCTTGCAGGCCTGACAATTTCTATCAAGGAAAAGGCAAAATGTTTGCAACTGACAGTGCTGTTCTAATTTTTTGTTTCAAATTATATTAAAATTTTATTTTAGTCAAATACTAAATATAATATAGAAAGTCTATACAAAAATGACAGTACTGAAATGATGCATTTTGACACTAAACAAAACATTGAGGGTCCCTAATTGCATTTTTTAATTTTCATTTTGCCAGAAATTTCAGATTTGCATTCTGAATCAGAATGAGATGTCTTTCAAAGTGTCAGAATTCTCATGGGAACCAGAATTTTCATTCCAAGCTATTCTATTTTTGACCATAAGCTCTTTATGCCACTACTCCCCATCTATAAAATGAGATAGTAATACCACCTCATCTCACAAGGGTATTGTGAAAAGAAATTAATTAATATTTGTGATGCACTCGAATGCTATTGCGATGAGCACCACAGAAGAGTCCATGAGGAAATTAATAATTCTGACTTCAGCACAGGTTCTGAATAGCATGCAGTAAATAAAGCATGGAACCATGCATTGAACAAAGAGTTAAAAAAACATTAAATAGCTGCATAGGTGTGAATACCATCCATTCTGCACTGAGTTATGTGGGGTCCTGTAGAAAAATAATATGTGATCATGAAACTAAAAACTGTCATAATTCATATGAAAGCAACCTTAATACTGACATTTCTTAACTTTTCAGTGCTTGACTTTGGAACCTTAATGTAGTTTTGTGTGTGTATGTGTAACATATGTGTAGCATGGAAGACAAGCTCAGGAAGATTTTCATTTAAATCTGTCTGCCTTCATAGATGACACCTTACTAAGTGGAACTGAAACATCCATCATGAACTTCCATCATAATCCAGAGTAAAAATATTTTCAAGTCAATAAAATCCCATGGATGAACTTTCTAACCCTATTAGAAAGTGGCAGCACAACTTTGGTCTCAGAAATTGGAAATTCTTTTTAACCTGATTTGAATCTAAACAAGTCAAAATTTCTCAGAAAGCAGGCCATCTAGTTATTTTTTGGAAATACTTATTTGGAAAGAGTCCGACTTCAGACAACTATAATATAGGCCTTTCTGCCTTACATCAATCCTGGGCAAGACAATGGAGTGTCTGGTACATTACTTGATTAACAAAGAATTAAAGGAGGATAATATCATTAATGTCAATCAACATAGGTTTAAGGAAAATGGATCTCGTCAAACTAACTTGATTTTTTTAATGTGATTATACATGTGGTTGAAAGAGGTAATAGTGTTGACATACTTTGTACCACATGACATTTTGATAAAAAACTAGAAAGATATAAAATTAACATGGTATACATTTTATAAATTAAAAGTTGGCTAACTGATAAGTCTCAAAATGTAATCGTAAGCAGGGTCACCACTGAGCAAGTGTGTTTTCAGTTGGGTCCCATAGGGATCAGTTCTTGACCCTACGCTATTTAACATTTTTATCTATTGCCAGGAAGAAAACAAAATCATCACTGAAAGTTTGCAAATAACACAAAACTTGGGGTAGTGCTAAATAATGAAGAGAACAGGTCACTAATGCAGAGCCCTTTTGATTGTTTGCTTGGACATAAGCAATGTGTATTTTAATACAGCTAACTGTAAATGTATACATCTAGGAACAAAGAATACAGGCCATACTTATAGGTGGCAAACTATGTTTTGGGAAGCAGTACCATTGAAGAAATTTGGTGTCATGGTAGATAAATAAACTGAACATGAACTCTCTCAGTATGATGCTGTGGCCAAAGTAACTATACAGTCCTGGTATGCATAAACACGAGAATATTCAGTAGGAATAGAGTACACCCTTGATTTATATAGTGGCATGATGATATTTTCTGTCTTATTGTCTTTCCCTTCCCTAATGATTCCTAACATTCTGTTAGCTTTTTTGACTGCTGCTTCACACTGAGCAGATGTTTTCACAGAACTATCCACAATGACTCCAAGATTTCTTTCTTGAGTGGTAACAGCTAATTTAGATGTCATCATTTTATATGTATAATTGGGACTATGTTTTCCAATATGCATTACATGGCATTTATTAACATTGAATTTCATTTGACATTTTGTTGCCCAGTCAGCAAGAGATCCCCTTGTAACTCTTCACAGTCAACTTTTCACTTAACTATCTTGTGTAATTTTGTATCATCTGCAGACTTTGCCTCCTCACTGTTTACCCCTTTTCCGCATCATTTATAAATATGTTGAACAGCATTGATCCTTAGGGGACCATGCTATTTATCTCTCTCCATTGTGAAAACTGACCATTTATTCCTGTAATTTATTTTCTATCTTGTAACCAGTTACTGATTCATAAGAGGACCTTCCTTCTTATTCCATGACTGCTTACTTTGCTTAAGTATGAAGTTGTGTTGTAGTCATGTTTGCCCCACGATATTAGAGATATTAGAGAGAAATGGTGGGTGAGATAATCGATTATCGTTTAATGTCTTTGCTTACAAGACTTTGAAGAGGGACCTTGTCAAAGGCTTTATGAAAGTCCAAGTACACTGTATCAAGTGGATCACCCTTGTCCATGTTTGCTGATACCCTCAAAGAATTCTTTGATATTGGTGAGGCATGATTTCCCTTTACAAAAGGGACTCCCTAACATGTTGTTTTCATCTATGTATCTGATAATTCTGTTCTTTACTATAGTTTCAATCAATTTCCTAGTACTTAAGTTAGGTTCACCAGCCTGTGATTGCCTAGATCACCCCTCTAGCATTCCTTAAAAATCATCCTTACATTATCTATCCTCCAGTCACCATGTACAGAGGCTGATTTAAGCAATAGGTTAAATACCACAATTAGTAGTTCTGCAATTTCATATTTGAGTTACTTCTGGTCCTGGTGACTTATTACTGTTTAATTTATCAATTTGTTCCCAAACCACCTCGAAAGATGTATCAATCTGGAACAGTTCCTCATGTGTGTCACCAAAAAAGAATTCCTCAAGTGTGGAAATCTCCATCACATCTTCTGCAGTGAAGACTTATGCAAATAATTTAGCTTCTCCGCAACGACCCTGTCTCCCTTGAGTGCTTCTTCAGCATCTCAATCGTACAGTGGCCCCACTGATTGTTTTGCAGGCTGACTGCTTCTAATGTACTTAAACTGCTATTAGTTTTTATTTCATCTGTCATTCTTAAAGCCCTTAAGAAAACGACTTCATTTGGAGGCATGCTATTAGAAATATTAATAATGTTAATAATGTTACTGAATTCATCTTTATCATAGTATTATGATCTACTGTTACTGTTTTTATCTTCCATGTAACACTAAAACAATTCCCAAAATTCTTACAAATATAGTTTTCGACCAACCAAAATCTGTTGCTCCATTAAAAATGTGTCTACTCTCATTCCATTAAAAATGATTGAGAACATTCAAGTTGCAGTTAAACACTTAAAAGTCACGCAACCAAAAGTATACGGTTGCATATGCACTTTACCTCTGGCCTTTTGTGCATACTTTAGGTGATCTCTCTACTGTGAGCCTTAGGAACTGTGCAGCTTTAACCTTTAACAGCAGGATGCATGTTAAATTATACATCAGCTAACAACTAAATGTTTCACTCTGTTGTGTGCAAGTGCAGACTTCCTTAGCTGTGCATCATGATTAGGAAAGTACTGTGCATGTGCAAAGTGTGATTTAAGATGTGTCATGTCTATTCCAACCCAAAACTAAATTTTTGATGCAACTCTCACAAACATTTTTCAATAAAAGCATTTCCACAAGAAATACTGCAGAACTAGACCCCTCAAAACACTTTACCAGGGGTCGGCACCCCATGTTGCACAACAGACACTCAACAAAATTACTGTACTTAGTGACGGACATGGGGGAGGGGGGAGAGAGAGGGGTATGTCATTCAGTCATTCAATTTTTTGAAAATTAACATGGACCTCAAAATTTTTACCACAAACACTTGTGTCCATGTACAGATACGTTGCTGACCCCTGCACTTCACTATAACAAAATTAATAACAAAATTAATTCTTGAAGACAAATTACTTTCCTCCTTAATTTGACTATACTCAATTTTTACTCAAACTTTTTTAAAAAGTTCACCTGCATGTAGAGAGCAAGCTTAGAAACTATCATCCTGAAAAAACAAAGTTTGAGAAAGTTATAAAGCCACCAAAGCAGGTAATTAGAATGGGAATTCCTATGCAACATTAACAATAGCATCACTACCACTTTTACTCTAATGATGTACTATTACAAATTGTATTTCCACTAAACCAACCATGCTTAGAGAGCACAGGAAAAGAGAATAGGAATGTGTTTACAGATGAATATTCTGGAAATACTACTGAAGCACTAAAAAGCTTACCATCCATATGACATACTGATTAATATAATCAGGATCACTGAGCTGGTTTATTAATGGAAGAAGAATTCCTCGGGCGAGGATTTCCTGAAAAATGAAATGTAATACAATTGAAATCTGTCCTCTAGATCTAAAAAGTGACAAATGGTTTACTCAAAAAACTATCAAATTTTACTATGAATTCAACGTAAAGCTTCTATTTGAGTGACTAGTGAAACTTCAAGCATATTAAGAACAAACTTAAAAACAAATTATGAAACAAAAAATGAAAGAAAATTAGGTTTATTTCTCAGGACTCACTCTCCACACCCAAAGGTAAATTCTTGTGATAAATAAAGAATGTTAGCTCTTTTAGTCTGCTGTGTGCCCAGTATAGAAACTAGGCATCTGACCTCAAGGAAGACAGCCTAAATATCACAGCAATAGGAACCTTAGAGAAATATGACAAATGAAACACTCATCCCCATACGATTTTAAGAATTTTAGTATTAGTTGGACAAGAATAGAACGGTGACCATTGAAAAACATTTACCTTCTATAGTATCTGCAGTCTCAGTTATTTCCCATTTTAAGTATATCAGAGTTACAGTATCACAAAAACCATTGAGTGATGTCAGTAGGTAAATATTGACTTTTTAACAGTGACTATTGCACATCCAAAAGTCACTCATATCTCTAACAAATGTTATCGAGAATTGTTCACCAATGTCATATAAAAAGTCAACACCTCCATATGAAAACATGTATCTAACTTATTATGTTGAAAAGTATCATCTGGGATTAATATAATAGCTGCTGATTGCATTTTATACAACACGCAAAATCAGTGACCTAGATCTAAATCTCTTTTATAATATATATGACTGGAAGTCTTAGGGTGAAATATAAATCCTAAATTTACCCTGACAAAGTATCGCATGATCTTGTTCTGGAAGTCTCCAGGAGGTAGCAATAAATACAGTAACACCTCACACAGATCCCTTAGGAATCCTAGGGAAAAACAACAACAAAATATCAATCCAATATAGAGTAGTGACAACACTACATGTTCCCTTCCATTATTCTCATGTAAGAAAAAAAGCTTTAGTTTATGGGCTGAATTTGAAAGTATTAAATATACTTTTCAATGATTCTCAAACTTTTAAGTTTTATTTTTCTACTTTATATAAACATATGGAACTGTCATCAAGTCTTACAATGCAAATGACTTTACTGATTTTATATATATTGACTAGAATGGATGGATGTGTGCATGGTCTTAACTTTCACAGAAACAGCTATTCCCCTTCAGTGCATTTTTTTCATACTTATGCATAGAGCAATTCAGGATTTTTTTCAACAAAACAATTTTTTGTTGGAAAAGGCAAGCTAGTTGAAACAAACTCTTCGTAGGAATGAATCAGTTTCCATTAAACTTTCATTGGGAAGTTTCTCAGGTCCAGGATATGAGAGAAAGACCCAGAATAGTTAATGGTCCAGTGGTCAGAGAACTCATGTGGGATACCCTGATTCAAATCCCTGCTCTGAATGAGACAGAGCAGAGACGTGAACCTGGAGGAGAATGCCTGGCTATGAGGATGGAGTTGACAGACGGGCTTAGGCTTCCTTGTCCATGAGATGCTATTCCAGGAAGAAGGACTGCTAAGCTGAGATGGGGTCCACTTATCAAGGAAGGGGAAGAGCATATTTGAATACAGACTGGCTAACCTAGTGAGGAGGGCTTTAAACTAAGTTTGATGGGGGCAGGTGACAAAAGCCCAGAGGTAAGTCAAAAAACATGGGAGAAGGGTTGGAATGTGGGGGAGACCATGAGCCATTATAGCAGGGATAAGGGAGAGATATGAGAGAACACACGGGGAAATCAAATCAGTATCTTAGATGTCTGTATACCAATGCGAGAAGTATGGGGAATAAGCAGGAAGAATTCAAAATGCTAGTTAAACAAACATAGTTGGCATCACAGATTAATACACATGACTAGAATATTGGTATAGAAGGATACAGCTTGCTCAGGCAAAAAGGGAGGAGGTATTGCCTTATAAATTAAAAATATACACTCTTGGACTGAGGTTGAGATGGAAAAAGAAGACAGACTGTTGAAAGGATAAAAGGGGTAAAAAACAAGGGTGATTTCATAATAGGGGTCTACTACAGACCACCTAACCAGGAAGAAGAGGTGGATGAGTTTTAAAAAAAAAAAAACAACAACTAACAAAATCATCTAGAGCATGGGACTTGGTGGTGATGGGGGACTTCAACTACTCAGACATCTGTTGGGAAAATAACGCAGCAGGGCACAGATTATCTAACAAGTTCTTGGAATGTATTGGAGACAAAAAATTTTTATTTCAGAAGGTGGCGAAAGCTACTGAGAAAGGCTGTTCTAGATTTGATTTTGACAAATAGGGAGGAACTGGTTGAGAATTTGAAAGTGGAAGGCAGCTTGGGTGAAAGCAATCATGAAATGGTAGCATTCACCATTCTCAGCAAGGGTAGAAGGGAAAACAGAACAATAAAGATAATGGATTTCAAGAAGGCAGACTTCAGCAAATTCAGGGAGTTGGTAGTTAAGATCCCATGGGAAGCAAGTCTAAGGAGGAAAACATTTCAACAGAGCTGGCAGTTTTTCCAAAGAGACATTATTAAGGGCAAACTATCCCACTGTATAGGAAAGATAAGAAGTATGGCAAGAGACCACCTGGGCTTAACCAGGAGATATTCAATGATCTGAAACTCAAAAGCAAGTCCTACAAAAAGTAGAAACTAGACCAAATTACAAAGAATGAATATAAACAGACAACACGAGTATGTAGGGACAAAATTAGAAAGGCTAAGGCATAAAACATGATTAAACTACCTAGACACATAAAAGGTAACAAGAAAATATTCTTCAAATACATTAGAGGCAAGAGGAAGACCAAGGATAGGGTAGACCCATTACTCAAGGGAGTGCGGGGGGGGGGAGGGGGGAGGAAGGGGGCAAGGCATGCAACAATAGAGAATGTGGAAATGGCAGAAGTGCTAAATGACTTTTGTGTTTCAGTTTTCACCAAACAGATTAGAAGCAATTGGACATTTAACAAAGTGAATGCTAGTGAAAATGAGGTAGGATCAGAGGTAAAATAGGAAAAGTACAAGTTAAAAATTACTTCAACATTTTTTTCAAGTCACCAGGGGCCCAATGAAATACACCCTAGAATACTCAAGGAGCTGACTGAGGAGATATCTGAACCTAGAGATTATCTTCAAAAAGTCTTGGATGACAGGAGAGATTCCAGAGGACTGGAAAATGGAAAAAAATACTGTTGGATCTACAAAAAGGGAAATAAGGACAACCCAGGGAATTACAAACCAGTCAGCTTAACTTCTGTACCCAGCAAATATCTTGTGGATGGGGGGGCGGGGGAGTAGTAGATGTGGTATATCTTGACTTTAGTAAGGCTTTTGATACGGTCTCTCAAGACCTTCTCATAAACAAACTAGAGAAATACAACTTAGATCAGAGGTCCCCAAAGTGTGGGGCGTGCACCCCCTGGGGAGGGGCATGAAGCAATGTCTGGAGGGGAACAGCAGGGAGGGAGCACCATCCAGCCCCTCCATGTCTCCAGCTCTGCTCCGGTCCGGCCCCCAGCCGCATTCCCAGCTCCCAACCCTGCACCTGGCCCCATACCCAATGTCAGCTCTGCTCCGCTCCCGGCCCCACAACAGCCCCCAGCCTCTGCCACTGGCCGGGGCTCCATTCCCGGCCCAGGACCAAGGCTGGGGGCAAGGCCAGGAGCAGAGCTGCACCTGCCACTGGCCCAGCCGCGGCCCCAGACTCACCCCCAGTTGCAACCACCTTACCCAGTCCACGTCCCCCTCACTCCACCACGGCCGCAGCCCCGCTCCCAGCTCTGGGGGGACGCAACCCTCAAAAGGTGGGGACCGCTGACCTAGATGGATCTACACATAACTGGTTGGAAAACCATTCCCAGAGAGTAGTTATCAATGGTTCACAGCCAAGCTTGAAGGGGATATAGAGTGGGTTCCCACAAGGATCAGTTCTGGGTCTGGTTCTGTTCAACATCTTAATGGCACAGAAAATACACTTACTAAGTTTGTGGACGATACAAAGCTGTTTTGGAGGATAGGATTAAAATTCAAAATGATCTGGACAACCTGGAGGAATAGTCTGATGTAAGTAGGATGAAATTCAATAAGGACAAATGCAAAGTACTCCACTTAGGAAGGAGCAATCAGTTGCATACATACAAAATGGAAAATAACCACCTACAAAGGAGTACTGCGGAAAGGGATCTGGGGGTCACAGCAGATCACAAGCTAAATACAGATCAACAGTGTAACACTGTTGCAAAAAAAGCAAACATTCTGGGATGTATTAGCAGGAATGTTGTAAGCAAGACACAGGAATCTATTCCATGCTGATATAGCCTCAACTGAAGTAATGTGTCCAGTTCTGGGTGCCACATTTCTGGAAAGATGTGTACAAATTGGAGAAAGTCCAGAGAAGAGCAACAAAAATGATTAAAAGTCTAAAAAACATGACCTATGAGGAAAAATTGAAAAAATTGGTTTCATTTAGGCTGGAGAACAGAAGACTGAGGGCAGGCCATGGTAACAGTTTTCAAGTACATAGAGGGTTGTTACAAGGAGGAGGGAGGTAAATTGTTCTCGTTAACCTCTGAGGATAGCACAAGAAGCAATGGGCTTAAATTGCAGCAAGAGAGGTTTAGGTTCAACATTAGGAAAAACCTCCTAAATGTCAGGATAGTTAAGCACTGGAATAAGTTGCCCAGGGAGATTGTGGAATCTCTGTCATTGTCTAACCTGCTCTTAAAAATCTCCAAACACCTGTCAGGGATGGTCTAGATAATACTTAGTCCTGCCATGAGTGCAGGGGACTGGATTAGAGGACCACTCAAGGCCCCTTCCACTCTACGATTCTCTGATTCCTACAACCCAAAAGTGCCCTAATCACTAGGCTACACAGTCAAACTCTCTCTCTCTTTCTCTCTCGTTCTAACCCAAGAATAGTTATTTATTCAAAGTGGAATGGTTCCAACAGGAAAGAGAGACCCACCCCAGAAAAGCCAATAGCATGACGTTTAGCACACTCACATGGGAGACCCAGATTCAAGTCCCTGCTCTGAACCAGGCAGTAACTGTACTATTAATGACATAAAATTTCTTGTAACTATTATTGATTTTTTATTTTTTAAACAAAACAGATCCTTGTTTCTTCATCCAGATATCAGTCTGATGTTAGATGTAGAATTAACTAGCCTCTCCCTCCTCCCACCCCCACCTATAAAGGGAAACCATGAACTTGAATAAAGTCACATTTCCATCAAATTCTTTCAGCCCTCATTACATATATTGTCACTGCCACTAAAAGTATAATACTGACATGCACCAATCAAGAAATATACGAAATATGTCAAAATTGGTTGCAATGAAGTTAACAGCTTAGCTTTGAATCTCTTCCATGTTATTGGCTGATGCCATAACTAACATAGCTTAATGTAGCAACACAACTCTTAGAAAATAATCATTAGAAAAACCTTCTTCATCTTTGGGAGAAGTGCAGACTAGATCACGACAGACTTCCTTCTCCATTTCAACTTCAACCTTAAAGAATGTATCTACAAGGTCTTCTGCTGTACCTACACAAAAGACATTAGAAGATATTTGTGTACATGAAAGACTTCTGTAAGTCACTAGTAATTGAATACAAATAAAAAAATTGTTTGGGTGAAGTGAAGAATAGAGAAATTTGCTATGCAGGGTCAACAACAAAAAAGTCAAATGCATTTTAAATTATGGCAATACCTTTCATTTGATCATCTTTTTCTGTTATCCTTTGTTGAGCTTTTCTGAATACTCGAAGATGAGTGGCAAAATCATCAACAAGTCGTGTGGTGAAATAAGGCTGCCAGTCCATTTCTTTTGACCTGACAGAAAACAGACTATACATCAACAAAAAATTTTAAAGCAGAATAAAATGCTAATTTCTTTTAATGTTAATGTCAACAGTAGTTATCTAAGGACTTGAGAATTATAATTTAGTATTACATTTCTGAAAGCCTGTACAATTACTATATGAACAATCAACAGTATGGTCCTGCTGTAACTTAGCTCAGGGAGGTCTACAGAAGGCTATGCAAAAGGATTAATTTGACACACTCAAACACACGTTTCCATGTTTAGATTGTTTGTTCGTACAACACTAGAAAGCTTTACATCAACAAAAACAACACACATGGAGATTTCTTACATACTATAAATGAATTTACAAAATCAACCATAAAGTATATTGTACAACAGTAATTTCAACATTTGCATCAAAACGTTAAAAATGAGCATATTTGCATTTTTCATAAATTGTATTAAGCATAAGAAAACAAAGGTCTAACATTTGTAGTGTCTCAATGTAATACTAATAGACCTCCCAGACAGATCTGTGACATTACTTGTGAAAAAATATGTTCTCACACCTTGCAATATGTAATCATATTAGAAATCACCATTATAATATTGCACTTGCTTATAGCTAAACAACCAATCATTAAAAAAAAAATCACATGGACTGTGAGGAAGCCAGTTATATTGATGACATTTTACACATTTGGTAAAATAGCAGCCACCATTTTATTATATTTATGTATCAACATTTCATTAGTGCTCTTAGGGGAAAAAACCACTTTCTAATTGTGTAGACTGAAGGGTGTTCCTCCCTTTTGCTTTTAGTAAAGCAGGAGGCAGGCAATCACAGCTCCTCCTCCTTGCTAGGCATTCCCATTGTGGGTTCTTTCTTAACTGAAAAACAAGAGTAAACCACTCTGGTACCTACTCTGCCTAAAAGGGCCCCACTACTCATAAGTAAAACCACCTTGGTTTCTGAACAGCTTTCCCACCAAGATAGGCAAGAAACTTTACAAATAGTTGAGTCTACAGCAAAGTCTAGTCTAGAAGCATGAACTGGGAGTTAAAGATAAACAGAAAGCATTACACCTTGAAGAGTATGACAAAGCTATGACTCAGTAGACAAACTGTTCACTTGTAGTAAATACCTAATAATCACACAAAGAACACTAGGTGGCAGCCTTACCTAATTCCTCTGACAAGCATCTCCCAAGAAGAAAACAGAATTCTGCAGAAAAGTAATCCACCTACCTACAACAGCTGTATACCAAGCTATAACCACTGTAACAGACTTGAGCAGGTTTTGGTTTTTTTTTTTTCAGTTACAGCCTATTGATAGCTTTGCACCAATTCTATGAAATAAATTTCTTAAAAATAAGATACAAATAAGTGCAATCTTCTTAATCTTACAAGGATAGCAAGTTCTACTTTAACGTCAAAACAGGTCAATCTAGTTATAACTAGATAATTAGCACTCCTATAAGCTGTTACATTTTTTGCCTATAGCCAAATAGCACTCAAATCTGTGAATTTCTTCCTTCCCTGTAAAAATAAACCAATGAAGTAATTGCACAGAATCACAGTAATTACAAGATGGAAAAATAGCAGCCCATCTCCTGCAAATGCAGGATTATTTCCCACAGTGCACAGCCTCCCGTGTTGCTTAGTCTAGTTTTAAGTGTCTCAAGTGACAGCATTTGCAAGTTTCCACTATCCTATGCCCTAACAGATTTCAATGGTATGACGTCTTCTTGATATTAAGACAAATTTTCTGCATCTATTTCACCCATTATTCTAGTTACATCCCACTGTTCACCCTACAGTATTTTTCACCTCCACTGGCTACTCCTGGCGGCATTCCGCACCAAAAAATTAAAAATTCTGCGCACAATATTTTAAAATTCTGCAAATTTTATTTGTCAAAATAACATTACATAATCATGCCAGTTTCAATTAATTTGATAATTTATTTAAAAATACCTGTCAGTAAGTATGTCTGTAACTATACAGACACACACAAAAATTCCCCCAGGAGTAGAGTTAGAGAAACCCCTATGACAACCCAGTTCCTGTTTCTCTGTCCCCTTCTTCCCCCCCCCACCCCAAGAGCCCAGCTGGGGGGCCAGACACAAAACCCCACCCCCACAAAGCTCACCTGCAGGGTCCCCCACAACCAATACACCCAACCCCCCTCCTCCCCAGAGTCCAACCGCAGGGGTTCCCCAGCCCAGATACCCGCACCCCCTCCCCCTGCAAAGCCCAGCTGCAGGCCCCCCGCCTTGCCCAGACACCTGTCCCCCTCCCCCTCAGGTCCCAGGCTTATACAGAGTTTCCTGCGCACCACCCTCTCCTTTTCTCAGGGCATGCTGTGAATTGCAGCTAGAGGGTCTGTCTCTAGCTCCTTCTCCCTCCCCCCAGCAGTGTCTTCTATGTGCAAGCTGGGCTCTGCTGAGTCCACTGGCCCCTAGTGGCTGCTAGCAGCACTGCAGCCCATTTCTGTGGGGGAAAGGAAATTCTGCATGCACAATGTTAATTTCTGCAAAATTCTGCATTGTGCAGTGGCACAGAATTCCCCCGGGATTAACTGGCAATAAAACCCTTATTTTTGAAATGTTGGCAAATTAAACACAATTATTAATCTTTCCTTGAGTCACTATCACTACCACTAGATTCTTTATATCACTGTTATCTGAACTTGCTCCAGCTTGATATCTACCCAGTATCTTTCTGGTAAACACATTGCTAAAATTTAACATTCCACTCGATTTACTCAGATTAGAGGATGGTCAAATGGCTGCAGCTGTCTTGAACTATTATTTTTAAAAGCTATTGGCTCTTTCCATAAAATTCAGATACTTCTTTTTGTACTATGCTTAAGAATAGTTGAAGTTTTTTTAAAAATATATAAACTCCAGCTGTTATACTGCAATCTACAGATGATATTTTGTACTTGCTTAAACTTATGTTTATATAAATACAAACAGTCTTACCTTGTAGAAAACTGAATAAGTGCATTTTGAAGAGCCTGCCTGATTTCAAGAAGAAAGGACTCATCATCACTTAGTGTATAATACCAGTACTGGACATAATCCCTCAGTGAAAACTGGATTACCTAAAATTTAAAAAAAGGATACAAAATAGCTTTTAGTGTGTGAAGATGCAACAGCTGTGTCATTTAAAGTTCATGTGATAAAGAATGCTCTCTCATATGCTTTACATCACGGTGATTGAGACACTGCTATATAGATAACTAAACCACAACGTTGTTTATGTTTAACTCAGTCTCTCTACAGTTGACTAACATTCACCCTTCTCTATTGTTACAATGATGAAAACTCCAAGGCATATTTCAAAACACACAGAGACAAGGCTGAAACAATCCCTGAAATTTTTGCTTTTACCAATATATTTTTATGCTTATACAGACATGAAACGTACCTTAGACTATGCAAATTTACTCACAGCTACATGAAATTCTCAGACTTCCTGCAGTTGTGGAAGGCCCCAAACACAGTGAAACAACACTGTACTGCTTGGCTGGGGGAAATGATAAGCAGAGAAGCTACGCAGAGGGACTCTGCAGTTCCTTGGAACTAAATAGCTACTCTCTCCATATTGTTTGAGCAATATTGTTGAGATGTTCCCACCGTGGATTTACCAACTACAGAGATCTACTGACCACAAAAAGGAAGGATGTGCAAACCACAACCTCTACTCATCACAATTACAGCTGTGGCTCAGACATTCAAGTACCATGCCACATGGATGCAGGAAGGTGGAGGAATATTTCATCTGGAAATCATAACTCTTATTCTCTACGACCTTTGGGTTGCAGACATGGTTAAAGGCATGGTGTAACACTGGCAGATGAGGCTCTTTCCAAGGCTGCAGGCATTAGCTAAGAACTGAAAAACTCATAGCTGGAGACCAGACCAGCTCAGTTGTATGTTAGTTTTGCTTAATAGGTATTAGTCTTATAAGAATGTATTTAATGTTTAGACTATGAAATGCTTGTAAATTGCTGCATGCATTAATCTCACTTCCAATGTCCATATTCCATGCAATAAGAAAATATATAAGTTTTGCTTTATAGCTTTGAAAATGTTTGCTCTGAACTTATGAACCCAAGCATGGGAATTCCATCCCCCATCCGGGACAACTATCAAAATTTAAATGAGACGTTATCAGACAAAAGCTTTCATCCACCATGGAGAAGTACATGCAGAAGGACTCATCCCATTGCTTTGAACGCTGGAAGAGGGAAATAAAAATAGCTGACGTGAAGATTTTTCATCTCTGTGGTTTGAACACTCACAGGGTCAAGAGACACCAAACTGCAGCCAGAGATCCCCGGGGCTGCCCCTGGGTCTGCCCTGAACAACACTTTGAATTGACAGATCATTACAACTCTGTCTCTCTTAGAATTTAGACTGCAACTCATTTGTGCATATTTGCTTGCTTTAACCTACCACACATACACACACCTCTTATTTCTCTTCCCTAGTTAATAAAACTTCAGATTGTTTATTACAGGATTGGCTAAAAGCTTTGTCTTTGGTGTAATATCTAGGGTACCAATTGATCTGGGGTAAGTGATTGGTCTCTTGAGACTGGAAGCAACTGAAATATTGTGTGATTTTTGGTGTAAGTGACCATTTATCAGTAAGTTGAGTTTGTCTTGGTGGCAAGATAGACTCTCCAGTCTAAGAAGATTGACTGTGACTCCATGGTAAGACTGGTATAGTGATCCAGGAGTTCAGATTTGTGACATACCACCAGTTTGTAGTGTCTGCCCAGAGGTAGGCACTCTCAGTTGTGAGCTACTACAGACAACATGACATGCTATAATCTTTAAATCTTCATACAATGCTTAGTGGGAGTACTTGGCAAGTGCACGAGATTTAACATGTATTAAAGTATATGATTTTGCCCTGCATCATCATAGCAAAAATTGTGTCAATGGGGATTATAATATCAATTTCCATGAGAAATTTAAAGAGTGAAAAACTGGCAAGTTTCCTCTTTTCATATGGTCAGCTCTGCATTCATAACAAGTAAGGGATTTTGATGAAAAAACTCAGTAACAAAGCTGGCAATCCATTTGTGTCTTTTGCAAAGCTCACACTACTTTTACTTTTGCTGAGCAGCCACCACCATTCTTTTTGATGGTATAGTTCTATACTAAAGTTTATCGACTCCTTGCACCTTTACAAAAGAGAGAGAATGCCAGGAGTCAAACTGCACCAGGAATGAATCCATAAACTATAAATAAGGCTGTGATTTAGTCATAGAAGTTACAGAAGTCAGATTCCGTGACTTCCAAAGACCTCCGTGACTTCAACCAGCCCTGGCTGGGAGCTGCAGGGTCCCTCCCGCCACTCCCAGCCACAGGCAGCAGGGGGCCCCCAGAGCTCTCAGGCAGGAGGGACCCCCGGAGCTCCCGGCCTTCCTGGTGACAGGGGGAACCCGCGGAGTTGGGAGCCGCCAGCAGAGGGGGACCCTGGAGCTCCCAGGCCACCCGCAGCTGCCCACGCACCTCATTTTATCATGGATATTTTTAGTAAAAGTCAGGGACAGGTCACATGCAATAATGAAAAATTCACAGAAGCCCAAGACCTGCCCCTGATTTTTACTAAAAATATCCATGACAAAATCTTAGCCTTAACTATAAATATAAATATTATGAAATATAAAAGTGTGGTTTTTAATAAATGCATTATCATTCAAGAACTAATTTCATAGCCTCGACAGTCACATTCTCACTGTGTAAAAATACAGCAAGCTGGCAATAAATACAGTTTCAAAATGAGTATTCCAGGGTCACAACTAATCTAAAACCTTTTTTCTCCTCTCCCCTCTTTCTCGCTCTCACTCACACACAGACACTTTTAGCAGGGTTTAATACAGATATAAAAAAATCTCTCAAACCATGGAAAGGGGAAGTGAAGACAGCCTTGAGCCTGGGCTGAACATTTGAGAAAAGATGGTTACTCACCTCTCTAAACTGTTGTTCTTTGAGATATGTTGTTCACGTCCATTACAATTAGGTGTGCGCGTGCACGGATGTCGGAAACTTTTTCCCTTAGCAGCTCCCATCAGGATGACAGGGGAGCCCCCTAGTGTGGCGCCCTTATGGCGGTGTATATATTACCCTGCTGGCCTGACCCCGCTTCGGTTCCTCCTTGCCGTTGGCTCCAACAAAGGGGAATGGGGGTGGGTATTGTAATGGACGTGAACAACACATCTCGAGTTTTTTCTTCTTCGAGTGATTGTTCACATCCATTCCAATTAGGTGACTTCCAAGCTTACCATTGGAGGAGGGTAGGAGTCATGGAATGATTGATTGAAGAACAGCTTTGTCAACCACTGCATCATCTCTGGCCTGTTGGTTGACAGCATAGTGGGCTGTAAACGTGTGCACTGAAGACCAGGTGGCTGCTTTACAGATCTCCTGGGCAGGGACCTGAGCCAGAAAGGCTGTCAAAGATGCCTGCGCTCTGGTTGAATGGGCCATAATTGCTGGGGCTGGGACCTTGGCCAGCTCATAGCACGTGTGAATGCAGTCTGTGATCCAGGATGATATGTGTTGCGCAGAGACAGGGAGACCCTTCATTCTGTCAGCTATGGCGACGAAAAATTGGGTCGACTTGCGGAAAGGTTTCGTGCACTCTATGTAGAACGCCAAGGCTCTCTGGACATCTAGCGTGTGTAGGTCGCGATGTCTCAGGCTTGTGTGGGGTTTTGGAAAGAACACCAGTAAGCAAATGTCCTGACACGTGGAATTGGGAGACCACCTTGGGGAGAAATTTAGGGTGTGGTCTAAGCTGCCCCTTGTCCTTGTGAAACACCGTGTAAGGTGGTTCGGAGGTGAGGGCTATCAGCTCAGTTACCCTCCTTGCCGATGTAATGGCCACCAGGAACGCCACCTTCCAAGAAAGGTAGAGGAGGGAACAAGTGGCCAGTGGCTCAAATTGAGCTCATGAGTTTGGAGAGGTTCCAGGTTGGGACTGGTGGGCGAGAATACGGGAACACCTTCTCCAGCCCTTTGAGGAATCGCCCCACGATGGGATTAGAAAACACCGAGCCTCTCCTGGATGGAAAGCTGAAATGGCCGCCAGGTATACTCTGACGGAGGAAAGGGATAGACCTTGATGCTTAAGTCTAAAATAACAGGGATGGAAGCCTAGAGCGGTTGAAGGTGCTTGGGTTCATACCAACAGGGAAACCTTTTCCATTTCACCAGGTAGGTAGTCTTGTCCTGCCGAGGAGAACTTGTCTCACCAACAGAGAGCACTGGCTCTCCATAGGATTTAGCCATGGAGTTTCCACACCACGAGATGTAGACATTGCAGGTTTGGGTGAAGGAGGCACCCATGGTCCTGCGTGATCAGGTCTGGGTGGAGGGGCAGGGCAATCGGGGCATCTGCAGACAGCTCTAGCAGGGTTGCGTACCAATGCTGTCGGGGACAAGACGGGGCGATCATGATTACCGTCACCCTGTCTCTGCAGATTTTGAGGAGGACCGGGTGGATGAGTGGGATAGGAAGGAAGGCATACTTCAGACCCTTGCCCCATGGTATTAAGAATGCATCTGCAATTGAGCCCGGACTGTGGTTTTGGAATGAGCAGAACTGAGGGCACTGTCTGTTGCTCTTGGTGGCGAAGAGGTCTACTCGGGGATAACCCCACTTTTGGAAGACTGACTGTATGATGTCCAATCTGATTGACAATTCGTGCATGTGGTATGACCTGCTGAGGCGATCCACCAGCTCGTTCCGTACTCCTGGAAGGTAGGATGCTTTGAACTGAATGGATCGGGCTATACATAAGTCCCAGAGAAGAAGAGCCTCTCAGCAGAGAGGTGAGGAGCGGGCTCCGCCTTGTTTGTTTATATAGAACATGGCGGTGTTGTTGTCTGTCAGAACTGTCACGCTGTGACCTTGCGAAGTGGCATGAAAGGTTTGGCGTGCCAGACGAACTGCCCTGAGCTCCTTCAGGTTGATATGGAGAAGTATCTCGTTCCTCGACCACAAGCCTTGTGTCCTCCGATCCCTTAACTGTGCTTCCCAGCCCAGATCTGACATATCTGTTACTAACGTCAGAGGAGGTTGG